AAAAAAATCAACTTTAACTTCAGATTATTTTGTTTATTTATTTAAACAGAACAGATGTGTAGACTATGGGGTTTTTTAATTTATTTTTTTCACTTTTTTCTGCTTGAAGGTACTTATTCCTCAGAGCTGAGCTGTGCACTGGCGTGCCAGGACTTCTAGTGGGGTGCCCGCCTGCTGAGCAGAGACCTGGCACCGCGGCACACCCTGGCTGGGGATCCCTGGATGCTCGCCTGTCTCCACAGCCATTTCCTCTGCTTCTCCAGACCTTCAGTTCTTGGGCGTGCTTCTCATGTGAGCTGGTGCCAGCAGCCCAAGAGATCATCCTGGGGTGCTGGCTCTGGGCCTCACCCTGTGTAGAAACTGTCAATGAATTTCCCTGGAAGGGATGGTCTTTATCTAGCCAGCCCTATTGCCTGGTTCACTAGATCAGGAACCAACAGAGGGCTGGATCTTTCTTATGATTCTGATTAAAAAAATCCAATAATGTATCTCAAGTAAGAGAACAACCCTCTGTGCTGCCGATAGTGCCAGACAGATATCGAAATGAGAGCATACATAGGGAAAACTAAAGAAAGGGCTCTAAAAGACCAAGTTTAGGATAGGACTTCTGGTACTTTGCTGACACAGAGTTTTACGTTGCTGGTGGTTTATCAAACTGATCTGAGCTGACTAATAAGGGGATAAAGATACTTTGTGTTTTCTTTCTCTTATAAGAGCAGCTACAGTTCTTTACAATTCAGACATTTTATGCCTTAATCGCTTGACGTCTTTTTAGTTACCATGACTGCAGTAGGCGATGTATTTTAGTTAAGTAAAATAATATTGGTAAGTCTGACTGATAAATAGATTAATTGAGAGGAACAGAATTGCCTCTAGTCCAGCATGATGCTGTGGAAAAGAAGTTTTTGCAAGCAAACCTAATTTTATTTCGAAACTACATACTCAGCCTATTAAGAGGGATGATGTGCGGCAGCATAGATCTCCTGGTGGAAGAGATTAAGAAGGAAATGTTAGCACTCGCCCTCTGTCCACATTATGGCTGGATTAGTGTTGCTTCCTACTGACACATTCTTAAAAGTTTTCTGCTCTCAACTGAAAGACATTTTGTCATCTTTTTCCTCTTTCCGACTTTATAAGAGCAGAATTGTTTTTGTGCAATGGATGTGAAAGTGTAGTCTGGCAGTTTATATGCAATCCTGTTCAAAAATAGCAAACAGCTTCTGTCAGGCTTATGATGTCTACTGGGGTGAATGCTGCAAAGAAGTAGACTTTCCAGTCCAGCAAGTGAAAGGAGAGAAGGTCTCTGCATGCTGCAGACATGAGTTCAAGCACCAAGTCAGCTACAGTCTCGCGTGAGCCTGAGCATGTGACTTCCGTGATCAAATTTTCCAATTATAAAATGACCACAAGCAGCACTTCTTTGAATCACAGGAAAATAAATTCGTGTTTATTATTAAAAAGTTGGGACCTATTTTGGCAAGTTGGAAGGTCAGCCTAAGACTCTGTTGCTACAAGAGCATCTATCTCTATGCAGCAATTTTCTATGCCAGACTAAGATGGGAGACAGGCTCCTTCCACATAAAGTACTTGAGTTTATGATTAATGGTAACGTCACGACTAGTTCCCAAGGACTTGCATTTTGCAGCACGGGGCACTGGTTTGGATACACTACTTACGCTTATTAGTAGGTGCTGAGAACATATGAAGTGTTGGAAGCATTTTTCTTGTGTTGGAAGGTAATTGTATTAATTGACATGTCGTCACACAAGTGTGTATTGAAAGATGAATGACACAGGGGTTACTGATTTGTGGCCTGTAATTCCCTGGGCTGCCAAACGCAGGGGAGATCACCTCAAGGAACAGGTGGGGTGCCTTTTATAATCCTTAGATGGGGACCAGTTTACAATAATTTCATCTTGTATCATCCAGTGAAGGTGGTGAAGGTCTTTATGCCACATCACACATTGAGAGGAAGAGTCAGAGCCTAACTAACTTCTGTGGTGTGTGTGTGTGTGTCCTCTCCATCTGGAGTTGGGCTCTACTCAATTATTCTTTAGAGCAGTTTATCTTGCCCTGGAAAAGAGACAGGTTAGAGAGATTACCCTCATGGGGTAATGTGAACTTTTGTGCATACTTGCTATAAATACGAAAAAGGATTCACTTTGCAATTTGGGAAAGCGATTGATAAAGTTTCTTTGACATAGCACAAGGAGCTATTGAGAAAAGTGTTTGGGGTCGGGGTTGTCAAAGTGGAAAAAGGGAATGTGTTTTTGAGCAAGAGATGCTTCAGTTCTCACAGGTGAAAAGATTTAAATAATGAATTTGACTACAGGACGGATGGATTCAAACCACTAAGTAGTAACACATGTTCTCTCTCGGGGCTTTCCATCTGTGGTTTACCAGCCACGCCACAACGAAAGCCTTTCGCTTTTCTGTGAAAGTGAGTCCGTTTCTTAGAGTCTTTCCACAAAGCTGCATCAAGCGGTGCTTTCCTGTGCATGCGTTTTAAATTGCTTGGGACATGCAGCTCGTGTGAGCTGCTGTCTTTAACGATGGGAAACGGAGGGATGCTGGTGCCCAAGTGCACCTGGGACAGTGCAACGAGCCAGTTTCAGTTCTGGGAGCGGGAGGGTGTGTTGTAACTTTGCTCTGCTAGGGGTTATTCAGTTGGGTGAGAAAAGGATGTGTCAGCCTAGGCTTAGTGCTGCCTGCAGGCTACTGTGTGGCTCTCACTGAGCTTTTTCAAGGTATTTTGCTCTATTCTGGCTTGCACAACAAAACTTGTTGCATCTCTGTGTTGTATCGGTCTCTCCTCATCTGAGGGCTTGGAAAAAGGAGCGCTTATGTGCCCTGAGGGATGTGGCTGAAAGCAAAACTGCCACTTTGGTTGGGGGCAATGGTTTGGAGTGACTTGTCTTTACGTGCTGATAGATTCAGTACCAAACATCCAGAAGAATGAATGGATTTTATTTAAGATACAAACATGGTAAGTGATGACAAAACCCCCTGTTATTACAAAATTCTCAAGTCCTTTGAATGCTAAAAACCAACTGCCATCTAGGATACGTTTGCTTCCAAAAACAGCTGGAAACTGAAACCAACTGAAAGTATGGATTTTGCAGGAACAGGCTGTTGCATTTAGATGTACTTGGTATGCACTGTGAAGTAGCCTGGAAGTAACAAAATCCAACCAGTCTAAATTAGCTTAACAGTGTCTTGTGAAGCAACTGCTAGGTCACTTCTTACATCTCTAAACTGCTACTGCTTCTTGCAGTTGCAGAATATAAAGGTGGAAGACTGTTTTTAGAAAAGGCTTCTGTCAGTTACAGCAGCACCAAAGAGGCTGCGCAAAACAACTTCATGTGGCAGACAGCGAGGAAACGTCTGCAGGACTTCTTGCTGAACTACTAGGAAACGGTTACCCTTCACATCCGCACGTATATGGTTCACAGTTTTAAGGTGTCTGCAAGCTTGCATGCTTTCTTTGAGCAAATTCCCTTTAGGCTTCACCGAAGAACAAACCTGGGCTCAGAAAATATCTAATACCTAGATTAATGGACATGTGAGAAGACAAGGAAAGGCTGACATTTACAGTCACTTACGGCACTTCAGTAATCTCTTTTGACAAATACTGTGAGCTAAATGCCCTACCTGACTGGGTATGTTACAGCTGTAGAGTGGAAGGCAACAGAGGACAAAAGTGAAATTAATAAATAAACCAGTATTTTTCACAGACATCAATCAAGATCAACAAGTATCAATATACTTTTTTCGACATTAATAGATAAAATGTCTCTAAAAAAAACACAGTTATATACAGTTACTTACAATCTAAACAGGAGACGGGAGTTTAATTATTTAGTTGCAGCTTGGCTTTTTTTTTTTTTTTAAAAAAAAAAGACACAATTTCCCTATCCTGTTCAAATTGGTGTGTAAGCCTAGATTGTATCCAGTGAGATCTAAACTGCCCCTTCTCTAAAACACCATGGAGGCTGAGCCTGTGCAGCTCTCCCACAAGGTACTGGTGCAGCGGTGGTGTACAGCTACCCAACATGGAGGCTCCTTGAGGGTATTCCTTCAATAAAAGCTAATTGTGCTATGGCCAAATGGTTCTGGATTCCATGTGATGGGAGAACAGGACAACAAAATTTATTTTCACTTGGCTAGGATTTGAAAGCTGATCTTGATATGAAAAATCAATGTTCTACCTCATAGTTGACACTGGATTGCCCCCCCTACGCAGAGCTAGGACAAACAGGGCTGAAACTTAATCATAAAAATGGTAGAATTTTAGTTTAGCAACTGGTGCAGGAGAAGCCAGGTGTTTCCAGGGCTCAGTTTAAACTCATAATTCCCCTGCCCACCCCATGACAAGATGGGGTTAAACTGACCCACCTAGTCAAGAGAGCTAGTATAGATTTCTCCTTTAAAACCTCATACCACCAGCAAAGTTTACTGCTTTGCTGTTTTCAACCAGTTACTCTTGGCTGACTTGGGGCTGAATCAGCAAGGCACAGGCATAAGGAAACTGCAGTTCTTGGCTTTTTGGACATTCATGGACAACACAGTAATATAGTCTGCACTTTTTTTTCTTTTTGGGTGGAGGGATGGGGCACAAGGATATGTTCATTTCAACAATTTCAGTTTAAAATCCTCCCTGGAAGCTGCAAGGGAGTGCTTAAATAAAGACCAGCTGAATCGAGCAGAGCTTGACCACAGTTTTTTGTTCCACCCTGGAAAGGGTAAGTCCAGGTAGCCCGACATTAACATAGCAGAGAGCGCTATTTTTAATCGGTTGGATTTCCACAGCCTGTTCTTTCACACAGTATGCACCAGCTTCTGTTAAAAGTGGAAGTCCCCTTTTTTGGTGGAATACTCGGTAAAAAACAAAATGTTGATATGAAGTGCACTGAAAGAACACACGTTCCCTTATGTTAGCACATTGAGTGCTTAACTCTGTCATAGCAACTCCCATTTTTGGAGCATGGGGTCAAAGTGCTCTACTTCGATCTGTACACAACAACATGCAGCTGGTGAAACCAGACAATGAAAGGGTTTACTGTAGAGAGAGAAAAGTGCAAAAGGTCACAAATCGCACTTTGCAGACAGTCCTTCAGTTTGGTTTTTCATAGCTGCCATTTTTCACATTCAGTAGTCATTGTCAGGGTAAGCAGAAGCAGCAAGAACTTGCCATGATCCTGAAACTCGGTGGCTTCTGCCACTAACAAAGTCCTCGATGGTGGTGATGAGAGACTGGGCACTCACCAGCTTTCCAGCACTGTGCACAGTGTAGCTAAGTCCCAGGCTCACTGCGTTCCCCAGTGAGAACAGACAGACTGTCACAGAGAACTGTCCAAAGTGGTCAGCTGGTATGGTGACACAACTGTTGCGTGGACACAGCCAGGGGCTGGAACAGAAATCCAGCAAATTTTGCTGTCTCCTGTGTTGGAGAAGCTTCTTTTTGCCATCTCTCTTGGCCCACTCTGCAGAAATCTGTCACTTGTATTACAAGCAATGCTGCCACCGAGATAGGGGGTGATGCTTCTCTTGGCACATTTCCAGCTGCCCAAATTCTTGGTAGACCTTCCACTTAGACGGGCGCTGTGAAAACAAAACAACTTCTTTTTAGAAAAAAATAGACCACCCCATGAAATAATCACATCCTAGAGTTGTTTTTCCTATGTAACCAGTGGAAGAAGATGCAAAGGGATGGAAAAGATGTATTCATGCGGCTGAGAGAGAATTTGCTGGGTTGAAGCCCTGACTCTGCCTGGATACCCGAGACACCGGGGGCCCTCTGCCCCTGTGCCACATACTGAAAGTGCCTCTCCTTCTGCAAATGCAAAAAGTGCTCTCCCACTAACATCACCCTCCCTTGCAAAGGCATGTCAGCATCACCTTTGGTTCATTTTAAGCTACTTCAGAGAACGAGATGCACAAAACTTATTCGTGGTCAAGAGAAACCAGCCTCCCAAGGCTCCTCCACAGGCGGTGGAGGGATCCCTCCATGGAGCAACTCAGAATTGCTCCAGCTCTGAACTTCTTCTGTGGAGCATCCTGCCCCAATGACTATAGGGGGTGTCTGAGGAGACTAACCCCACTGGGATGAAGTCATTCTTCTTCACAACCTGCCTTCCCCACTGTTTCTAGAACTTTTTCTTTGTAACAGTAAAGCTAGTGTCAGTAGACGTTTTTGTTTTTGAAGTATTCAGGATTCCCACCCCTTGTGAAACAATCTTACCTTCATAAAGTGAAACCCATAGAACCAGAAAGATATTTACATCAGTACTGGAAAGCAAAATGCTGTGGCAGAGTGGCATTGTGGATGCACCACGCATCACGTGGGTGCACCTCTGCAGTGCCTTATTCCCCATCCACCACATGCAACTTGCTTGAAAATCCAAAGTGATCATTGAAACATTATCTCAAATGATCACTGAAACATTAATTTCTCCAAGAGTCCATTTTTGCCCCAAGGTAGTATCAGCTATTGCTAAATCATTTCTGACAAATACTGATTTCTTCTTTCACTAGGGGAAAAAAAAAAAGAACAGCAACAAACCTGGACAGACGGAGACTTGACAGCCTGTACAAACCCTCTGCCTCAGTCCTCAGCTACGATTACCCTTACACAGGCATTTTCCCCTAACATCTAGCTTAAATCTCCCTTGTTTAAGCTTACTGTGCCTTAAGTGCTGTGTCCACTGGGTTACGACAATAAATTGTCTCATCCTGTTTAAGGACTCTCTGAAGAGGGTTGTTTTTGTGCCCTTAATCAGCTTTGCCTTCTCCAGCCTAAAAAAACATAACGAATCTTTCATCAGAGATCACATTCCCTAGATCATTCTCATTTCTATGGTATTGTTCCAAGTTGCCCTCAAACCGGGATGCCCAGAAGATACTGCCTTCCATGCCTTACTTGGCTCTGTTGGCAGAAAAGAGCCCTCAGAGGTGGGACGGTTTCTGATAAGCAGTGCACCACCAAAGCTGCTGTCCCGCCTCCTCTTCCACAAATGGAGACATGCCACAGAAACCATAGTGTCTGCAAGGCAAGTGCCTTTGTTTTGTTGTTAATGAACAAATCACGCTACAGCAGCCTTCAATAAGATAAATATTTACTCCTATTTATTTCACAGAGGTTTTTCTACTTGTGGGCTAAGCCCAGGGATCTAATCAAATAGGGCCTGGGATAAGTAAGTCCAGAGAAGAAAAAGTTGATCTGATATGAACTGCTTGTGTTATGTTAATGCAGCTCACAGGAACGGAAGGAGAAAATGTCTCTTAAGTAGAAAATCCATCCTTTCTATGTTATGCTCTACAGGAAACAGTGTCATGCTTGTTGATGTTTAGCAAACACAGATGTGGGGCTGCATGATGGGTCTGCAAAATAACTGATCCTTAACCCAGTCTGCATGACCACCAAAGAAGTTCTAGAAAGTTGTTTGATTTAAGGGTTGTTTTGCTTCTGCTTGATATTATGAATTGGGTACATTCACAGTAACTGCTCGGGCAAACTATGCTTTCACTATAACAGTTTTGCCTGTTTTGCAGACAGTCATTTGCTTCAGTAGAAACTACCAAACGAGATATAAAAAAGGCAGAGACTTCATGCTCTCTGTACTCTCACAAGTCCCCTGTGCTGAGTTTATTTTTACAAATTTCTCTTGGATATTTTTGCCTTATTTTTATTTTTCCCCCACTGTAAATGATAAATGAATTTGTAATCCAGCTGGGCAACAATATTGTATTCTTGCTTATAAAAAATACAAACCTGTTGAAGGTCTAAACTGCTTTTTTATTTATTTTTTTGTCTAGGAAAAGAGCGTGCTTAGTGCTTGTTAAATTGGGTGTGTACAAGCTCAGGTTTATAGACTTGAGGCATATGATATTCCTGTATCCTAGCTAAAGACCTTCTAGGATATGGTGCCTAAAAAGGCAGAGAACAACCATTTGGTGATGGGCACTGACAAGGTATGAAGTGATAAATGGTCAGTGTTGTCCAGACTTGAAAAATCAGCATTTAAAGCAGATTTTCCAAGTTTGACTCTGCCTGGCTTATAGCATAATCCACTTGTCTTGATGGCAACAGTAGCTGCAGCACAGCTGCAGAACAGGAGTGGTGGATGGCTTCAGCCTGTACGCTCTGTGCCCCCTGTCAATTTGTCACGTCCTTTGGCCTGAACTGTTGAAGGAACTTCTTGGAACTGAGACTTTCAGGCTGCCTTTGGCAATGCTTACAGAGCTTAAGGAAAAGGCTGAGAGAAGAAGTAGGGCTACCATTTTACATGCTTGAGTTTGTAACATCCAGCAAGTCTAATCTAAGGGCCTTGTGCTGAACTTGAGTACTGAAGCGATGAAGTTAAGTCACTCTTGAGACAAATACAGTACACTTACAATTGAGTCTTCCTCTGTCTTCATTCGGTTGGACATCTGTTGAAACAAATGCATTGTTTTAAGCATGTAGGATAGGTAACGATAGTCTTTAGCCAAATGGGATTAATATTAAGCAACATCCACCAAAGTTGAGGGTTCAATATGCTAAATGCTCTTTGGACAGCAGAATGCAGTCCATACTCTACTTGCTTACAATCTAGGTCACCATTTCAGTAAGGTTACATTTGAGGCTTGAAGAAACAGCCCTGCTCCATGTTTTGGGACAGAGTCCTGCACCACTCTTGGGTTGTTTCTGAAGGAAGGACGTGGCTCCCAGCACAGCTACTGCACATGCTGGACAAGACCACTACCCTGCTTTCTCCTGCTCTTTTCTGAGGCACCTGGGCTTGCGAGCCACAAGGAAGAGGACATGGATCAAAAATGTGGTTTGTACCTGTCCATGAAAAGTGTGGTTGCTCACGCTCATTTTTCTTAGATGTTCTTGTATACCTGCAAAGTGGCTTACGGAATTATTCAGATACATCAGCAGATTGAGTCTGGTTCACAAGATGTCTTTTAGAGCTACCTTTTGTTGTCTTGTCAAGCATTGAAGAGTCCTGCACGTGGACAAATGCAGCAATACAAGGGTACGCATGTATAATGTGGAGTGACAGTGAGACATGCTTTATTTCTACCTTGTAGAAAGTTGCTTGATCCCTGTGGGATTCTGAATCCTTAATTGCCCAGCCAGTGACTCTAAAGATCTCAGGATTGATGTATCCTCTGATTTGTGCTTTGGATTGCGCTAAGCAGAGACAGCTACTGACCCCAGTCCTGTTCCATGAAGGAGCATCCCCTCCATCTGTCCAGAAGCAGCCTGCAGGGATCACAGCTGAGAAACATGGCCTGAACAGGCATAATGTCTGAGTTACTCTCACATCCAGCAGGTAACTCCTCTGAAGCTCAGGTGCCATAGCAGAAAAACATAAAGAATAACATGTCCTGGAGTACTGCATGTCCTCCCCAGGTCACCCCAGCTTTTTGAAAACAGCATGATTTCCTGCTGTTGTGTGTAGGCAGCTTACTCAAACCTTCTAGCAACACACTGGGTGATATTAAATATTTTGGCAAATGAAAAAGAATTCGTCAGATACAGTCATGCAAACGAAGGGTGTCATTACCTGTGTAGGACACTAGTTTAGAGGACCTTCGTCTCCGCAGCCAGCAGCTTAAAACAGCTAGAAGACCTATCAGAATGACAACGGAAACAATGCCAGCTGCTTGAGGACCTCGTCCCTTTTTTCCCAGGTTTTTGTGACTTTCTGTGCTAGAATCATCGCTTTGCTTCTGCTGTGTGTCTAGAATAAAATAGAAAAAGGATGTAATAAGGTGTAAATTTTCACATTTCATACCAGGCAAGTATATGACCACATTTTACACGCACAAAAAAAAAATCTGAAGGACTAAATATTTGTTCTATTTGTATCACTGTGATTCTGGTGGTTTTCCTTCTGAGCAAGGCACATCTCCAGCTTTCACTGTCCAATAATACAATGCTAGTTTATTCCTCCCTGTCATCATACTGCATGCATCCGTCTTTCTTACTTTTCGTTCTTCTTTCCTGACAGCCCTGGAAGACTGTATGTTTGAGCTTGTATCTATCTAGACTCAGGTGAAAATGAATCCATACAGAATCTATAATGTAAATATGATGGTGTTCAGCAAAGTAGGGGGAAAACATGTTTCCCTGAAGTTAGGGACTCATTTCCACCGATTGCTGCAAACTGAAGGTTTCAGATCACATCTCTTACTCTTTGAAGTGTGGTAGTGTGTTCAGAAACCAACCAAAAATAATAAAAATTGTGCAGAATACAATAGGATGGAATGACATTAGGAAACTAATGATGAGATCACAAATTTTTCCTTTAATTTGGGATGACAGCATGGTATACTATCATACAAACACTCTACTGTGCAATTTTTGCTTGTACACACCATTTTTATTCCTGAAAATAGTTTATATCATTTGGCTACATTTGTGGGACCAGTGTTGTTAAGTCCAGAGTATGCGATTCCTTAGTGTGTTCAGGTAAACTACCTGTGGGCATCCAGCTACTGTTATGCAAACAATAAAACGTCCTTGCACCAGGGTGCAGAAACCTGTGAAAGAAAGGTGTGGTGGGAGGCAGGACCAGGAATGGGAATGAGACTGAACAGCCACCTCCAGACAAGCTCTCCTGCTCCAGACAGCTGCTCTACACAGCTGTTTGGAAATCATAAAACTCCCTATTGCTACTATAACTTTTAATAGCTTTTTAGTTTTGTGAAGAGTGGCTAAATACTTACTTTTACTATTAACCATTCACATCAGCAATAAATAGCTTACTAAACTCGTGCCATTAGGTGTATTGTTCTATTGGGCTAATATTAGCTGTTTGCTACAGGCCTAAATAGTGTGCTGTGTTACACTGAGTTTTGGAGACTGAAAACATAACTCCAAAATTAGGCAGAAGCAAAAGCAAATGTGAGTCCTGCAAAACAACTGGGTAGGGGTTGGGGAATCATGGATCTACTGTATTGTAGAAAAATAACTTGACTCCCCAAGTCCTCATGTTCCCGAGGAGCCAAAGGGTGAAGAGCAGTGACTGCCTCGGACACAAGATCTTCTCAGTGCCCTTGTCATAACATGCTTGATTGGGGGTTCACTTCGGTGTGGAAGAAGTCAGAAGCAAACATAAAGTCCATGGCTAAGCACAATTAGATTAAAAAAAAACAAAACTGCGTTCTTCTCGGCACTTTGGGGTCTTACTGAACTAATGCGTACCCCTCGTTAGTGTGTGTCGACAGGCAGAGACATGCTGGTTGATACAGCTGCTATCTAGAAAACATGAAGTATTATACAGGTACTTACAGTTGGCTGACAGATTTTCCCGCAGTATTTGATTTTCTATGGAGCACTCTATCTGCATGTTAGAAGTGGCTTTAACCTTCAGTGTGCTAAAAACGCTGTAAGTGCCATCGGCATGGGAGGTGATCTTCAGCTGTGATGGATGCAGGTGGCTGTTGTCTGTTTTATTTACCCAATAAACATTGGGCTCTGGGTATCCATTGCCGGACCTGCAGCTAAAAGTCACCTCCTCTCCAGTGCTGTCACTGTTCCTTATCGGTCCACTGAGTATTGGTTGGCTGTAACTAGCTGGAGAGCAAGAGAAAAACAAAGTCATCGACACGTTGAAACGTGTTGAAAAGACAAAATTTTAGCATGGGTTCCGAAGCAGAAGTTCTGGGTTTCACACGACCCTCATGACTTGAAAGGGAAACACCTGCAGGTTTGGTCTGTAAGCCAGAGAGCTAAGAGAATTACTGGAAAGACAGAAGGAACAAGAAGCAGTCAAACTCCAAGGAAGAAAGCAACTTCTTAAGCTGCTATCGCCCAGTCATGTGCAAGATCCCTCCTATGAATGAAAATCAAGATGAAAAAAACCCCACGCTGGATAAACAGCAGTTATGGGTATTCACCCAGTTTTAGATTCCTCATCTGTAACATTTAAATTAAGCAGACTTCATTTCGGCAAAGGGCTGAAGTATGTTCCAAAGTTGAGGGTACGCTTCAACATAACATTGAAATGGCATGAATTCAAAAAGCTGGAATGGGAATTTGGGCAAATACGTGCAGTGATACAAGTTCTTACCTGCTAAACTGAGAACCACTTCTGCCTGGTGAATCACTCTGGTATATTCAGTTTTCTGCAGCACTACACATTTGTACGTGCGTTCATCGCTCTGGCTGACGTTTAGCAGTAGCAGAGAAAAATCGCCACTTTCCAGCCTATCCCAGAATAACCGAGTCCTGTTTTTAAAGTGAATACACTGTTCGCTTTCATTGTCTTGCCCAGAGATCAGTGCATGTACAACTGAACACTCTTCTTGATCATCAGCTATTTGCCAATATACCCGCAGATTTTTTAAGTGTAATTCTCTTCCTTGATAAATGCAACTCAGTGTAGCGTTGTCACCAAGTTTACTGACAATGATCTTCTCCTCCAGTGCAATAACTACAAGATTAAAATAGAGAGGGAAAAAAAGGCAAGTTATGTGGAAAAAATGTCATTCTTTTCAAGCGTATTCTGCCACATGTGGACTCCAGTATTAGTATTCACAACAGGCAGGTGAGTGGGCTCTCTCTGTAGTCATTCCCACCTCCTGACTTGCCGGTGGCTAATTCTTCCCGTGTCTGTTTGTCTGTACATTTTCCAAAGGAACATTTTACAATATAAAGCCTTCTGCTTATTTCTTTCTCTGAGGACCAACCAGTCTAAGTGTTCCAGCCCCATGGATACCTGCATGTTTCACTTTGCCTGCTGACTGGGACTGACTGCTTTAATAATCACTTTTTTTTTTAAATTAAGAAAAATGCCAAACACCACCAGGTAAATCACAAGAAGTGGAAACGCTGATAAAATAAACAGTGCTACCATTATTTTGAGACCTATAAAATTATAAAGGGGAGTAAAACCAGTGTTTCTCAAAGTGGGAACGTCATAGCAATCACATTTTATTGCTACCATCAGTGTCACCCTCTCAACAAATATACCCAGCTGGTAAACCAGCATGCCCAGATACCTCCAGTGACACATTCATTTACATGTTTACAACTGCTCACGGCCGCTTGAGCTCGGCCAGCGCAATATCTGGCTTTCAGGGCACTTTTCCTGGCCTCCAGACATGAGAAAGGCAACCCCTCCTCCTGCTGAGCAATAAGAAGGTGTGAGCTGGCTGGCGAGCGATGCGGAAGGTGCAGGTCAGCTACTCCGAAAGGGCCAGGGCGGCTCTGACCGCAGCCTCGCTGCTGGGAGGGATGCACCAGCTCCCCTCCACCCCAGCAGCCAAAACCTCTCTGGTGCAACCGGCTGCCGAGACCAAAGCAGTGGGTAAATGTCAGACTGGGGTCAGGCACGGGGCTTGGTGGGAGAGGTTACAGCAGGGGGAAGGGATTATGTGGGTGGGTGAATTAGGGAAGGAAAGGTGACAGGAGTGAGGGTTTGGAAATGTGGAAACAGCACATGGTGAGGTGGGAGGGAGGGGGCAATAGGAAAGGGTGACACGTCTTTGTGTTGGTGCACTGGACTCAGAAACAGCTCATCTACACATCTGAGTCGGGCACCTTGGCTTAAAAATGCCACTGCAGCAAACGCAGGGCTTGCAGGGAGGAAGGCAGTATGTTCTCCAAGCCCTTATCCTCTGCCGGGTGAGACAAGAAGCAACGGGCTTGAACTGCCACGTGGATGTGGCAGCTCAGACTTTGGGAAACCCCTCGCAGCAGCAGGGAAAGCAACACTCTGGAAAGCATTGCCTGGGAAGATGGGGCACCTCCGTCACTGGCATTATTTAGGAACAGGCCAGCTGGCATCTATTGAAACTGAATCTGGTACAGTTTGTCCTGATCTGGGGGTTAGGGATTTTCGTTGGTGACTTTGTTGAGGTCCTTCTTGGTGATTAAGCAAGAACAGAGGAAAGACAACTCTGAAAATATTTAAATATCACCAAGTGACGTCCTTTAACCTTACCTTTGTTTTGAAAGGTATTTTTGGAACTGTAGTAAAAGACTTACTAATGTTGGGTACTTGATACAGTGATGTATAATTCTAGTTATGAGTATGGACTTTATCTGGGCACGTTAGATCTGCTTATCAACAGCCCTTATTACCCCGCTTCTAAGGCCTTTGGTTGGCAGCGATAAATACACAGGGATGTTTGTAAAGCAAGCAGAGCAATCTAAGCAAAAGCATCCATAAGGTCCTTTGCTATTCTCTGTACTGAAACAATAGAAACACATTTTTTCTTCTTTCCCTGATGCATGTCACGCTGAGGAATTATTGTCTTGCTGAAAACATGCAGATGTTTATATCATTCGTGTTACAAATACTCTGTGTATTTGGCCAAACACATTAAGGGAGGGCAGCTGCATTTTAACTAAAGTATTCTGAACTCACCAGCTCTCAGGATATGAAGGAGCAGTAACAGAAATCCACAGCTAAAACAAAAAAGCAAACGAGTGTTACACGATAGACTTTGGCACCTCTGTTGTTCACGTAAGCAACAAACCTAATATTGATTGTCTCAGTATAGTAGCAGAAGTAGGTAAATTAGGTACTGCTACTATGTAATGTCCCATTGAGCATTTGCATTTTTAACAGCTGCAAAGCTTCTGTTCAAACGACACAACTCTGTGGGTGGGTGGCCAAGGCCACAAATAGCAGTAAAAAGCACTAATATTGGAATCGGAGCAGAAGGCATGAAGCTGGTGTTATGCCTGTCTTTCTTGTGAAAAACAGGCCATAGACTTACTGGACAAATAGGAGGCTGTCTGGATCACTGGGAAGGAGCATGGCTGCCCAGGCCCAAATCCAGGCCAAAGCCCTGCATCCCACTGTTTTGCTGAAACTCAGCAAGTTATGGTTTTATCTACTTAAAGGACATCAAGCAGCTGACCATGCTGCCCTCCGTTTTGTCCAGTCGGTAAAGATGTGTAAACAGGAAATGTGCTGATAGTAGGGAGCTGTGTCAAGGTTTTGCTGGAAAGAATTCGGTGTGTTTGAGTACTCCAGAGGGGGAAAAAATCTACGCTGGAATTTCCCAAGGGAGTTACACCTGCTGGATGCTGTAGGAAAACCCAGTTTAACCTATCTGTAAAGTCCAGGTGATCGAACTCTTATACCACAGGTCCTTAAGAAAGACAAATGTGCAGCACTTTCCTAAGAGTTACTTTAAAACACCCTTTCACCACCATGCCTATCTATACATCGTGCTCTCCTTCCTCCAGACTGCTGTGGGAAAGGAAAGGAAGACACTGGAAAGGTTTTGGGACAGGAGCTGTGTGGCTGCAGTTGCCCCCCTTGCTATTGCACCAGGTGCAATAAGGTCGCAAAGCCAAGCCGATGGGCAGAGGGACATGAGCACCAACTCGTCCCCAGTTTCCCCAGCTCACTTTTGCAAGCAAGGAGGACTGTGAGGCCACACTGCCTGGGTGCAGCTGATTCCCTTCCCCAGTTGTTCTCAACCTTCAGCCAGGTCCAACACTGAGCCAAGGGCTAGGGCAATGGGGAGAGCTGCTCTCAGCAGCCCATGACCACCCAGGAGCGAGCTCCAGGGTCTCCCACCCAGACTGCTTGCCATCTTGCCTGCAAACCAATCCTGCCCTGCCTGACCCTCCTCCCTCCAAGTCCTAATCATAGAATCATAGGTTGGAAAAGACCTCTAAGATCATCAGGTCCAACCGTCCACCCAACACCACCATGCCTACTAAACCATGTCCCAAAGTGCCACTTCTACAAGTTTTTTAAACACCTCCAGGGATGGGGACTCCCCCCCCTCCCTGGGCAGCCTATTCCAATGTCTGACCACTCTCTCAGTAAAGAAATTTTTCATAATATATAATCTAAACCTCCCCTGATGCAATCTGAGGCCAACGCCTCTCATCCTATTGCTAGTTAGTTGGGAGAAGAGACCAACACCTGCCTCACTACAACCTCCTTTCAGGCAGTTGTGGAGAGAAATAAGTTACCCCCTCAGCCTCCTCTTCTCCAGACTAAACAGCCCCAGCTGCCTCAGCCGCTCCTCATAAGGCTTGTTCTCCAGACCCCTCACCAGCCTCATTGCCCTTCTCTGGACACGCTCCAGCAACTCAATGTCTACGCTCTCTCCCCCAGCAGCCATTTCTTGCCTCGCTTTTCCCCGTCAGCTATGCTTTACAACGTTCCCTCTCTTTTCCAGGCTTCCCAACCTTCCCCCACCCCTCCTGCCCCTTTGTCCAGCCGAGCATCAGGATTCATCTGGCACTTCCCAGGCACAGCAACCCTTCTGCCTGGCTTTACTCCTACCAGCTGCCTGGGCACAGCTTGGGTCTCGTCTGCTGTGGAGGAGGGTCTCTAATTCCCACCTGCCCCCAAGAAAATTATGACCTTCCATTTGGCTTCCCATGGAGAAAGCAGGGGATGTTCCTGACACAAGATCTACCTCCACTTGAACCCCATCTCCAGAGAATGACATGGGGAAAGTTTAGGGAAGGGTCAGTCTGAATTGTATTACTTCTATATGAAGAAAACACTTTCTTTTCCTTTTCTGTGTCCTTTGAAATGGTTTCATAGATGAAGTTTCAAAAGTTTAAGTGGATGCTCGGTGTGGAACATTTCTGCTTTAACACTTACTTTAGTAAATCTGCAATTAAACCTAAAAGTAGGTCACTCAAGTAAGCGTACCTAAACACTCCGGGGAGGCAGCTCTGCTCTGTTCTGTCTCTGGCAGTGACTTTTGGTGGCTTTTGCATGTGGTCTTGTAGTGCATTTCTGTTGTATTTCTACACCGTGCAGAAGCCATCACTTTTGCACCAGGCTTGTAGAGGTCTGTCTGCCAAGCTCACCTTAACGTAGTTCTTCACCGTTCTTAATCCTGCGGCTGTGTTTGCTTTACTGTTCCCCGCCCCATTCGGAAACTATGGATGTAGCAACTCGTTTGAATTAAGTGGGTAACAACAATTGACTGATCTTTATGGGACTCTTTAGGGAATTTCCCATGATAGGCATTTGCCGATGCCAACAGACATTTAGATAGTCGGCCAGAACTGATTCTTTGATGTATGTATACAAAGCAGGTCTCGACTTCTTTTAATAAATGGTGTCACAGTCAAGATTGGACAGATCTAGAGATGCTCATCCTCTTACTTGGAGGCGGTGCCAACCCACCACGTTCCCCTGGAATAGCTCTAATGCCAAGCTCCCACTGGAAAAAGGGAGAAACGCTCTTGCCTGCAGAGAAACCTCCCTTTTGCCCCTCATGTACACTCAGCTCCTGTGTCCATCACGCTGGCGGTGAGCTCTGCTAAGCACAGCTGGAGCTGCATTGGTTTCTTAGGTTCTCTCTCTCCTTTATTTAAATATTTTAAGTTGTTAATTTTTTTTTCTCTTTCAGTTCTTTCCCACACCTTCCCCTTCTACACATTCTTTTAAAGTGTGATGTGAAACGGGAGAAAGTTGCACTTCCTCTCTCACACACTCACGTTCACTGAGATCATTCTTCCTACCAGCACCTCAACTTT